CACTCCTAAAGTTTGTAATACACACACACACACACACACATATATATATATATATATATATATTTTAGAATATTAAAACATGTTAAAAATTGCTGCATAATGGGGATTATGTTCCAACACTACAAATGTGTCTCCTTGGGTGAGGTTAAACTACTGGTGAGTGAAAGATTAATTTCAAAAGCAGAATACTTTAAAATAAAATTACTTTATTTATTTTGCAAAGAGCATCCATATATGATGTTAATAATACCAACTTAACAATGTAAGATGCTAATAATGCTAACCAAACTTCAATACAAAGCAATATTAAATCAAAATGATTCATACAAATAGAATAGTAAGCCATATTAGGTGCACAACAGTTCATCTACTGATTATTACTATAAAAAAAAGTATTATCAAATTCAAAGATTAAACATATTGTAATGTAAAAGATAGGCTATGCCTACATATTACAGTCAATTCACTTTTTGGTTTAATAAGGTGTTTCTATAAGAAAATCTGATAATTTCTAATTTTTCATGTAAGCATAGAAAACAGGGTTCATTTAAAGATCTACATGTTCTAGCTTTTTTTTTAAATTTCGATTTTACCTTAAGAGTTTTATTGGCTTCTTTTAAATTACAAAAATATTTAGAAAGAGATGTACTATTTTTACAAGTACTGTTGGTGAAGGATAAGATATGTTGATACTACCTAGTCTTAAAAGAATTCTTAGAAATACCAATATAAAAGTTTTCAACAGTCAGTACTATTTCTACAATAGAGAATCTAAGATAAACAAGAGAGGTTGTTAAACATTAGTTTCATAATGGGAATTCATTAGAATCCTTGTAATTACATTGATTAATATTATTAACAGTATTAATCTTGGGATGGGCATGATTATCCAGATATTTAATTTGGTTTAAAATTTTATTATTATGCTTCTTTATGATCTCAACATTATCAGTGCAGTGATAACTTAGTTTTAACATGTTTCTGTTAAATATTTTACTAAGAGGGTTACTTTTAGGGAAATGTTTATCAATTAAACGTAGAGACTTCTGGCCTAACTTTGTACTGACTAACTGGTTAAATGGGGATATGTACCAAATGAGTTTCCTATTCTTATCTCTTTTCCTTCGATCAATAACCTTAAGATTTACACTTTTTAATACCTTACATTTTCCTTAATTAGTCAACCTTGATTTTAGTAGAATTTCTTATTACCATAAGACCATCATCTCTCTATAACCCTATACTATCAACATACTATCAACATTAAGATCATCATAAGTGCTAACATTATATAGGATAAATAAATCCATCAGGTCAGAAGACTTTGCAGAATCTAATGATCACATAGATATATCAAAGTGAACATCAGAATTTTTAATCCACTGTTCATTGTTGTTAATGAGAACAGATCTTTTACAGTTCATTATTATATTTTTGTCTTCACTGGAAATATTAGAGAATTCCTTCACAAATTCCAAAGCTAAGGTGAAAAGATGCTTGGAAATGGAGGGATAAAGATCCACAGTAAGAAACTGGATTAAAGAACACATTCTTTTGTTGTTAATTCCTTTGAACCAATTAATGACATTTGTGGTACCAGTCCACTGTAAAAGTCCTAGGAGTCATTTAATTTGTTTGTTGAATCTATCCAGGATGATTTTGCTTATCCTTCAGATTTCTGGTTTGATTGGCTTGTAGGTAGTTTGATCTAAGAGTCTGGTTTATGATCTTTAATTAGGACATACAATTCTTTGGTACAGAGCTTACTAAACTTATTGCTAATTTTAAGTTTATCAGTTATATTTTTACATGTAGTGTTAATTCTGTCAACTAAATAAATAGTGTTAATATTCAAATTCTTATAATTTTTGGTTAAATTTTTTTTAATTAAAGTATTATAATCTTTAGGATTCAACTTATATAAATTAGCAGTTTTGTCAGATTTAACAAAGATTTTGTCAGATCTATTAATATCTTTAACAATAGAATCTAAATGTCTCTGAAAATGATTCCTATTTTTATAAAAAGAGATACTGTTAATAATGCTTAGTAGATCGTTGTCAAAGCCATGTAAGCAGTCAAATGGGAGGTGTAGTTTTGAAACTTTTGAAACCATATATTTGAAACATATCGATCAAGAAAGACGAAGTTAGCCTTCCATCTCATTCTTCTAATCAGATCTTCAGTCTTCAAAACCAGTTTGTCAAAATATTTCCATTTGTTTGAATTGAGAATGTTTTTAGTGAAATTCTGAAATTTGTTTTTTCCATGAGTATTAAATAAATGTAAAAAGTGCTCCATCGTGAATGGAGCAAAACATTCAGGTAAAATGAGAGCAAATGGAGCATCATTCCATTCTACATAACATTTAATTTAAAAGTGGGCTCAGTATAGAATACAGCTACATATTATTTATTTTAGAATATTAAAACATGTTAAAAATCCCTACATAATGGCAATTATGTTACAACACTACAAATGTGTCTCCTTAGGGGGTGATAAACTATTGGCGAGTGAAAGACTAATTTGATTTCAAAAGCAGAATACTTTAAGAAAAAATAGTTGTACTCAGTATTGAGCCCTCTTTTAAATTAAATGTTATATACATTGGAATTATACTCCATTTGTCCTTATTTTACCTGGATATATATATATATATATATATATATATATATATATATTTACTTGACTCTCCCGTCGAATTCAATGAGTGATGGTCAAGCAGATCAGTTCCTAGAAAACCGACAGCCCAACAACAGTACATGAGATTTGATTATAGGGGTGAAGGTTTCGTGCAGGAGCATCCACACTTTTGAAGGGCCGAATACAGAGACCTGGTGCACTACGTGCCACAAGGTCTCCAAACGACCCTCCGCAGGTTTTGAATTCAGAGTTGTCCTTCTCCTAGACGAGTTGCCATCCAAGGCTATAGAACCCAGTCTGTCCTGCTATTTACCCATAGCTGGAGGGAGAAGAAGAAGATTCACACCTTTCCCAAGGGTATTAGCATATAAGTGAATGTAATGGATTTGACTGGAATTCAAACTCGGCTCTCCGATTCCTCAATCCAAGCCGCAATCCATTACTCCACTGTGCCTCCACAATATATATATATATATATATATATATATATATATATATATATATATATAGGGTGCAATGGATAATTTGTTGTCTAAATTATACAAAAATGAAAATAACATTTTATCAAATATATTTACCAAAATTACACAAAAATATCTTGAAATACTAAATTGTAAATTTATTCAATAAAATCGACATTGGCTTCAGCCACAGCCTCCAGGCAACTTCAGAATCTCCTGCAACTCTTCTGGAGTGTCTCTTTGTTAAAGATGCAGAATGCCTGTCCTGTGAGTATCACATTTTCCAAGCATTTCTTTCCTCATTTTGCTAGCCAGAAATTTCAGCTACCACTTCCTGATGTTAAGCATAAGTGTCCTTTTTGTCCTTAGAACATTGTTGTTGCTCACGTATTTGGTCTATGGTATTCTTAGCATCATGCTGTAGAACCATATTCCTGTTACTTCAAGTCTATTGTCCAGCATTCTCTGTGATATAGGACGAATGATATTACATAACAGTTCAGTACTCTTTTCTTTGTTTTTAATGGTATTTTTCTCTTTCTTAATACTTTGCTTAGTTTTTGGAATGCACCTTTTTCTATTGCATTGCACCATAAGATATCTGTGTAACACTTTCCATCCTCTGTTAATATATATCTAAATTGCTGCACCTGTTTAATTTTAGTATCTTCAATGCGTAATTTGCATGTTTGGCTGTTCCTTTTACAAACAAACATGTGTCATCTGTATATATTTTATGTTGTTAAGATTGTGGCAGCCAATAATTAATCTTGGTTGGACTTCTAATTATCTCACAATGGCCTCACTGTACAGGTTGAAAATGTCTGGTGAGAAATAGACACAAGCTTTTCTTATTTCCTCTCCATAAGCAGATGGTTTTCTGCCAATTATAGGTTTTGGATTATTCTAATATCCTTCTCAAATATGCCAAGTGTTACTTAGCAGTTCTTTGTGATGTATTTTATAAAATACTAGTTACTTGAATAAAGGCATTTTTTTCTTGAAAGTGGCAATGACCTTTGCATTTAGATCACAGTTTGGCAATCAGCAGAAATAAAGTATGTGTAAAGGGGTGTAAACAATGTTTATATTTTAATAATTTTAAAATGTAATGAATTAAATAAATAATTGTCTAAATTTTAAAACCTATCAAGCTGGTCAAATTATGACAGTGTGCCTCAATTTTTTACAGCATGCACAAATTTCTCTAGCAAATTCATGTCAGAAAGGAGCAAAGTAAATTGGCTTGGTCTGTATAATGCTTGGATCTTTCTTAGTATACATGTTTGTACAAGTTTGCTTAAAAAAAGTAATGAAAGAAATTATTTTTAAATTTCTTTGTTGGCATACAAAAGAATGAGAAGACGATACAATTAACATAAATATATATTTTTTAACATTAGTGACCTAGCACCTTTGATAAGAATACCCTACCTAACAAGCTTGTGTAAATGGTTACCAAAACAGGCAGTAAGATAAATAGCAAAAAGACAAACACTGCTAAGAGCTACAGAGAGGAAGATGTTGTGGAGGGCCGTGATTGCCCACATCCGGAAAGCATATAGAAAAAGAAAGCAATTAAAATCAATTTTTTCACTGATTTTGATAATGATCAGATGTACGGTTAAAAAGTGCAAGAGCACCAAATATTTGGACAATATCTATATTCATTGGATTGCGACATATGTCCTGTTAGACAAGAAAATGCAACAGAAAAAAAAATCACAAAATATTCTTTGTTGTTTTTAAACAGGCATGTACTATTGAAAGACTGCTGCCTATACATGCACACATATACACAAAGATCAAAGTTGGAAGATTAAATTATGCATAATTAAAAACCAATGACTGCATCTACCACCAGGTAGAAAGAAATGAATACAAATTGTTTATTACCACTCTGGCATATTTTTTTGGCAATCCGTGGATATTTGGAAAACTTGAGGTGGTAATAGTTCTCATAATCCATGATGATGGTCTCCAAATCAATATTGTCGCAGACCTCATATCGGTTGACATCAATGGTTGCTTCTGATAAAAGACAATTAGCTGTTTCCCGGTAGCTAAAAGGTAAATGCAAATAGACAAAATTAAATTTAAGTCTGGTTCTATTAATCAATTAATTAGTGAAATATAAACTTGTCTGGGAACAGGAATGATAAAATGTTGAAAGACAAGCATTTTCTCATTGAATTCTTATGATATTATCAGCTAATAACCAGACACTAAATGTAATAGAAACAGGTTTGTGTAACAACTGGTGATTTTCTAGTGGTTAAAAGCAGGAAAATACAACAGAACTTCCTGTTCTGTAATTAAGTCTTCATTTTATTTGGACATGGAGCAGAATGAGAATGATTTGTTGAATGAAGAACAGACTTTCCTCATTTTGAAATGTTTTAGTCAAACAAATGACAAGGTTGTTTGTTTCATATTTGTTAAATGAACAATTTTTCCTCATTTTAAATAGGCTTAGACAAACAAGGGACAACATTCACTTATTTCAAATAATCTTTTTCAAAAAAAAAAAAAAAATGACAAGGTTTCTATATTTTAAATAGTCTTGGTCAAAGAAGGAACAAAGATTCCTTATTTCAAATCATCTTTGTAAAAAAAAAAAAGATAAAGGTTTTATTATTTTAAATAGTTTTGGTCAAGCAAAGGATAAAATTTCCTCATTTTAAATCATTCAAATGACAAGGCTTTTTATTTCAAATGTTCCTGGTCAAAAAAGAACAAGGCTTCATTATTTTAAATATTCTTGTTTGAAGCAGGGATAAGGTTTCTTGCTTTTAAATCATTTAGCTTTAACAAAAAAAAAACAAAGATTTCTTGGTCAAATAAAGTAGAATGTCATATTATTTTGAATCATCTCAAAATCAAACAAGAGTTCATTTTCCTTTACTTAAATTGTCTAAGCAATAAATAAAATACAAATAATGAATAAAAAAAAAATTAATTTACCCATAATGCAAGTTATAAAGAAATCAGAAGTGGTTTCTGGTCACATGTGTGATTTTATGACCCCCACTTATGGAAAGGACAGAATCTTTCTCTTTCTCCTCTTGGCTTCAAGATGTGAACCACACAGTAACAGTGTTCCCACTGGGGACCTTTTAACTTTATTTCAATATGGTCAACATAAAAGGAATAAACGTTGCTTCTTCTACACTTTCTTTGTTTACATATTGAACACGCACCTTCACCTAAAAATACGCACAAAACCCACAATCTTCTTAACAATCCCAAACTTCCAATAGTGCTGGATGCATTACACTCTACATTGAAATGGTGTGCATTTGAAAAGTGCAAACAACCACTGCATGAATGCTCTCTTTTGAATGATTTTTTAATAGCATTTATATATTTTTCTTGACAAATTAACATCAGTACTTGATATCATGTACTTAGTTGACCACTTCATTCCAGGTTATGTAATCATGTTATTCATAAAATATTATATTTTCATTTAATCATATCCTGTTGTTAAATGTTAAAGACATATGCTTTGAGCAGATTATCCATAATCTTTAGTTGGTAAGCATCACTGCTAAATGTATTACACTATTGCTTTGTAGAAAAGCTTACATTTTGTACATCCCAATGCATACACATATCATAAATTCTAATGTCTTACAATTAACAGGGGAACAAGGAACTGAATGCTGAAATGAAGAAAGTGAAGATCTTCAATGGTCAGAAAGAATAGTGTTGTTGTAGGTGTAATTCTAAAAGAGTGAAGAAAATGAATTCATTGCGACAAAAATCAGCTACACATACAGTATGGATTTATATAAACATTACCCTAGGTACTGGTTTAAAATAGTGGATATGAGTAAAAATTACAAAAAAATTCATTTGTGCAATTTACAATATATGAAAAACATTATCTAAATTGAGATAACTAAATCAGTCATGTCAGAACATGTGTTAACCAAAAAGGATGTATGCTTCCCCAAACAATATACAAAAAAATTTGATGGCAAATCCATTTGGTGAAGCATGCCATCAAGGCATGGTGGAGTAGTGGATAGCAGCTCAGATTGAGGAATCGGAGAGCTGAGTTTGAATTCTAGTTGAATCCATTACATTCACTTATATGCTAATACCCTTGGGAATCCTCTTCTTCCCCACCCCAAGCTATGGGTAAATAGCAGGACAGACCAGGTTCTATAGCCTTGGATGGCAACTGGTATACCACAGAAAGAAATGGCAACCTACTACAGGAAAAATCTGCCTCGTCAATCATGTATCGAATGATACATGATCGCCTAAGCGTGTATCACGCATGGCGCATAACTGACTGACTGATTATCTATGATCTATTAAAATACTTCCCAGATATTTAAACTTCTGTACTTGTTTAATGTTGTGCATCTCCAATTATTAGTAGCCATCTTGGGCTTTTCTTCTTGCTGACAAAGATATTTTCTGCCTTCTTACAGTTGATGGCTAGTTCGAATTCCAGTCGAATCCATTACATTCACTTACACACTAACACCTTTGGGAAAGGTATGAATTCTCTTCTTCTCCCCCCAGCTATCGGTAAATAGCAGGACAGACCAGGTTCTATAGCCTTGGATGGCAACATTAAAACTTTGTTTAAAATAAAATAAATAAAACCAAAATAATAAATCTTCTTCCAGCATGCAACAGAAAACATTCCTGCCTGAGAAAGGGAGTCTTTGTGCAAAAAAAAAGCCAAAATTTTCTTACAATTTTGTATTTAACTTCAACCTCTGATGGTGTTAAACTTTTGGAATGAATAAAAATGAGAGAGAACATCAACAAAGATAAAGAAAGTATTTCAAAGGAATGTTTATAACCAACAATAGAATCAGAGAAAAACTGAGAGGCTGTAAAACTTGTTAAAAATCATCTGGAGAGCTGAAGTTACAGATGATATTTACTTACCCTTCTTCTTGAAGGTAATGCAAGACTAGAAGGAGTGTATTTCTCCGTCTTTGGGCTGTTCTGTGTTCTTCCTGATTTTGCAAAGAAAACAAGAGAGAAAAGTTTTAATCAGATAATGGCGTACTTAAGTTTTTTCTTTATTTTAGCAAAATCAATTAGTAGACATTTCTGACCAATTTCCAAGACCTTGAAAAATTATACCTGATTACCTTTAAATTATGGTTTTGTTTACAGAGTGCTTGATCCCTTCACAACATATCTGAACTAAACCTGACTAACTTGTGCAAAAAGCAAAAAAAAACTTTAAAATGTCTAAACTATAATTCTAATCTAAACTGAGACAGAAGAATTGAATAAACAGGAACACAGGTTTAAGTTTTGGCTAAATTAGGTTATTGAATTTAAAGACATTTTGGTCTTCAGAGAACAAAAATTGTGATACTGTCAAAAAGGTACATATATAACCATTTTTTACCTGAGTCTACAAGTATCCACCTGGCTGATTAGAGCCTTACAACTGATATCTCCTCAATGGGGGAAAACCTGACTTGAAACTTCTAATACCTCCAAAACGTTTCACGGTTATGATGTCAATGATGATCTCTGTTTTGAATGTATATTGGAACCCAGGTTCATCCCAGATTTCATGTAGAAATCATATATAGAATTCTTTGCTGAAGATGCTGGGAAAAATAGCTCATTCTATCTCTCCCGGAAGAGGATGACTCTTGGCATGATTTATTTTTACAAGTCTTTATTTTAATATTTTGACCATGTTGGTATAGAGTCTTTTAGAGAACAATAACTGGCTGACTACATTAAAAAAAGGGATATAAAAATTGAAACATTTTACATTCATTGTTAAAAATTCTTTATTTTAAAAAGATTATATTATAAAATATTACAAAATTGAATGCCTGGAAATGACTAATTGTATTAGTACTGATCTTACAAATTGTTTGGGACCATCTGATCTTAGAAACAAAAACCATTTGGTAACATTATCTATGATTATGATAAATGACTTTTGTTGTATCTGTATGTGTTATGAAACTTTGAGTCCAGAAATAAAATAACTCTGAGACAAAGCTGGGCAATTCAGCATTGAGTAATGTTTAGTGACCTAGTCAGGTTGACCACTACTATGGATTCTATTCTTGGGGCCTTGTAACAAACTAAGCTAAGTAAATATTTAAGATACTTTGGTGCAGCAAAATGGTTAGCAAGTTAGTTGGTTTTGTTTGGTTCAAACTTTATAATTAATTTAAGTGAATGACATTATTTCATGATCAAATTATAATTACTTAATTGCTTTTTTTATCAAATAATCTTACAAAATAAGAAAATCTTAAATGAAAAAAAAGAAAACTTGCTTTTTTACAAGAAACCGTTTGACTTGTATCTATGCATAAAATTCTGTGACTTCCGCTAGTCTGTCCGTTCATCGCTCACACCTTCTATCATCACAAATTGTATTTTAATTACAATGTATACGATGTCTTCAATTTTACTATAAAAATTATTGCTGGTAATTTCACTATAAAAATGTATTTCTATATTTTCATAGTGTTTTGATTTTAGTTTAGAGGTTCACTATTTGCTTATAGCTGGGGCCCTAACATGTGCTATGACCCTGGGTTAGGAAGGACACAGGAACAATAGCAATTAAGGTAGTAAGTTACTACTCAAAACATTTAATTTCCTAATCAGGGGCCTAGCAAGTTAGTTGGATTGACTATTAAGCTTAGGAAATTACTATTATGGATGCTTTGGTAAGGAGTGGTGTTTACTGAATTAGTTGGCTTGACCATTACCATTGACATCATTTCTTGCTGGAACATCCCAGCCAATTTCTGCTGTTTGGTATTGGCCTAATGTAAAATGACACTCTTGCAGTTATTGATACATTGCTACATCTAATCAGTTCAGTTAAGAACAGTACATATATGAATTTAGCATCTGATTTGTGCAGAACACACTTATGCCCTTCCCATCCCAGCAGATACACTCATTCAATTCTTTGGATGCAGTTGGGCCTTTGGGGTGGTTATCAGTAGCTCCTTGGATGTCCTCGGGACAGTTTTCGTTCCAACTTGTTGTATACAATCCATTTTTTATAACTTACGGTCATTCTTTAAAAAAAAAAGAAGATCATATTTGTCAGCTGAGAATTGCAGAAGGAAATATGCTAATTTTATTGCTTAAGGCACTGAACCCACGAGTACCATTTTGGCTCTACATTTCTCATGGTCTTGGTAGAGTGGCAGAGTATTCTTCAGTACCAGATTGATCTGCTGAAGGATCCTGGCAGATGATGTCCTTCCAATGACTGCATGGCCTGCTAGAAGGTTGTTTCCAGTTTGCAGATGGCAGGTTGAACTGGCAGATGGCTCTAGTGGAGAAGTCATCAAGTTGTCACAAAATGTGACCAAACCAGCGAACATGGTGCTGAACAATGGTTTGGAAGATGTTTGGCTGACTGGCTGGCTGGTCCTCTGGTGGAGCTCCATGTTTGACACAAGATCGGGTCAATGCCCCCCCCCATTCGATGGTCATTAAGAGAAGGAAATATGACCTGTTAATTTTTTTCCCGAAATTGTGCAGCATTCAAATATTGCAGCAAATCCAAACAAGGGCACTTCAAGGTCAAAGAATGGTTAACAAGCTAGTTGGGCTGATTATTTCAACTGGATTCATTATACCATTGGCCTTGTGACAGACTAAGTTAAGCTTAGCAAGCAGCAACTCTAAGATTAGCTAATTGCACATATCTGTCTCCCCCCTCCATCAAACAATCTTTAAATAGAAATGCGGTAAACTCCAGAGACATATTTAATCAATATCTAATAAGCAAATGCAATACACAGGTGGATTTTGTGATTAGGAGTGGGGAAGGGGGTTGACCAAATAACTGCATTGATTGGCATGTTATTATTAACTGAACTTTAGTTAGAAACTTTGCTGAGGAAGTGAAGTGGGCAGAGAATACATGATTGTAGATGCACACACATCTGACCAGTTATCTAAGTTGAAAAATATTTTGTCAAACTACTTAGAATTTTATACTATTTACATTATTCAGACTAGTGCCCTCATCTTTCGCTGTCATATTTATTACATTTCATTACACTCCGGCCTTCTTCTGGTGATTGGAATGTCAAACTGAACCCTTTATTTCGCTATCTGTGGTAGACCGTTCTAGTTTCACGTGCCATGTCTAATGGATGTCAGTTATCAGTTATCTCCTATTAATTCCCCTCTCCATGTTCTACACTGCCTTAACGACACATAGCAGAATGGATTAACGCGTTGTTTAGATCCCATGACAGGACCCAGAGAGTTGTGAGTTCAATACCTGATTAAGGCAGTGTAGAATTTGGAGAAGGGAATTAACAGAAGATAACTGATTACTAGCATCCATTAGGCATGGCACATGGAATTAGAATGGTCTAGACCAGTAAATGAAATAGAAGGTTCAGTTCGACATTCCAACCACCTGATGAAGGCAGGAGCATACAACAGCCGAAACGTTGTGATAAATATGGCAACAAAGATGAGGACAATAGTCCAAATAATGTAAATAGTGTACATAATACCTCATCTCAGAAATATAGACAGGTTAGAACTTTATGTTTGACATGAATATTTATTTTATGAGTATTTTTTTTTTTACTAAATTTCACCTAATTGAAGGTACTGATGAGTGAGGTGTGTAAAAGTTAATGCTTGAGAAAGTGGTAGGATGTGGGGATTCTGAGGATGAGGAGGATAGATAATGACTGACTCTTGACTTGAAGAGATCAAGATTATTATATAAATGGAAGCAGCTATGCAGGTTTCTGTTCTGCAAAAAAACAGTTCTTGGGTAAAAGTTATCAGAATGGGACTTCCCTCTTACACTTGGAGCATGGAAGAAATAAATAATAACAACTGGTAGGTCTTCTAATACTATTAGAATTGTTAAACTTCACCACAATACAGCAAAAGATCTAATAACACTGTGATATAGGCCAAAAAGCGTATAGTAAATGGTGCAAGATTAATATTTGATAATTTTTGGTAGTTAGTTAAAAAGAAACCACTGAAACTATATATATATAAAGTAGTAGCCTCTGTCTGTCTGTTTGTTATCAAACTCCTCATAGGGTTTTGGATATAGACCCCATAACCATATATATTCTGAAACTATATTACCCAAGGTATTTGGATAAGTATATTTCATTTTGATTACAGGGGCACAACTCCCACCAGTGAAAAATTTTTCCCTTTGATTTAAATTGATTCCTATTCAAAATATAGAAGGAGAAAGCCAGAAGATGGAGTCTCATTGGCAAGATCATTTTGATCAAAGGGGGTCCTCGTGGGTCACAGCCCACAACTGAAAATTTTGGATTTCATATATTTCATTTTGATCATAGGGGGTCCCCGGGGCAGCACAAGCCCTTCACTGAAAATTTTAAAAGTTTAGCATTTTTCAACCATTGGATTTTGAACATAGGATTTAATTTCACACCTGACTGAAACATATACATATTCTCTGAAAGGTGACATTTCAACCTGTCTTTAGATATGACTCCAAAGTGGATTGTGAATTTTAAATGTTTTTACATTAAAAAGTAAAATGAAGGAAAAAAGCTTCCACATCTAATTGTGTGCTCCTGCACACAATTAGATGTTTCTTGAATCCATAATCTTTTTTACTGTTGAAATGGCTAGATGTAACTGTAAGATCTATGGTAAGAGTTTCTTCTATTGCACTTCTCGCTTGAGAAACTTTCTTCCAGCTTTTTGCTTTCCAGTCAATATTGATCTTCCAAAATCTAAATGCAATGTTAATCGTTAACTGTCTTTTTAATTCTTTTTCTTTTAATGTTCTTTCTCCTTAATAGTGTTTTTTTTTTGCCTCATATTCTCTAAAACTCAGTAACCCTTTGCACCTTAGTAGCTTTACTGCCTTGCTTGGGGTGAAATGATCAAAAAGAAATAAGATGCATTTTCATCATTTTATGCTCTTTTATTTTTGTAAAGGAGAAAACGCTTTACAAAAAGCAAAAAAGACATATGCCATTTA